CATATTCATATTTGACTGACCAGTGTGTCGCTGCTCCGTCTTCGTAGCCGTTAGCTTCTGCCGCGCATTTAACGTTTTGTTTTTTGTTTGTTTTTTTTTGTTTTTTCCGTTTTCAAGCGGAAGAAGTGAGAAACTCCTGCTGAGTTGTGGCTCATGAAGACGAGATTCACATCTTGCTGGCCAAGAGGCGTCGAGCGCTCTTTTCAGAGGCTCCAAAACTAAATGGAAAAAAAAAAGCCCCATCATGCTTTGCACCTCACTAGACAAGCAACTAGCCAAGCGGAAGAAGAAAAAAAAAAAGCAATATTTGTGAATGCGTGTGTGCGAACATTGCTCTTCAGTGTTAAAACAGACATGAAGTCATGCTGTGCACAACCAAAAATGAAAAAAAAAAAAAAAGATTTCGATTTCTTGACCTTTTATTTTCATTTGGGGGAGGGCCCAGAGGGGGAGCGTGGGGGTCGTCCTTTGTCTGTGATGGATCGTTCGTCCAAGTGCCAAATGAAGTCTTAAACGTCTGTTTCACTGAGTCGCCAAAAGCGGGCTGTGACGTGGCAGCAAAGCATTATGGGATGAAAAGTTTCCAAATGCAAACAAAAAAAAAAGGACATTAGAAAAAAAAAAAACGTTTAAGAAACACTAAATTAGCTTGCTGCTACTTGGAACAAAAAAAGTCTTTGTGAGTACTTAATCATTTGTCCCCTTTTCATCTTTAATTCTGCGCTGAGAAGAAGAAAAAAAAACCCACAAAATATTTGGACAATAATGACTCATGGTGTGAACTCAACAAGTCTTACTATGATTTTTTTTTTTTTCCGACTGTCCGGAAGCAAAAATGGTAGGCACTTGTGTAAAAAAAGAAGTGAAGAAGTCGAAACGGACATTTTTGTTATTTATTCTTCCATGCTGTGTCAAAGCTTTCCCTATGGTGAGAGTCTTCTTATTCAAGCTACCTGCGTTTCATTTTTTTTGTTTTGTTTTGTTTCATTTCTTCAAGAGCCAGATGATCCTCCGCATTCAGGCTTTCGCCTCGTCATTGTTCCCGCATTTTTGCTACTTCGCAGCGTCCCAAAAAAAACATCGAAAACCAACACTGTCCAAGTTTGGATTTGAAGCTGAAGTTCACATTTTAGCAATTTTTTTTTTCCAGTAGCGATGTGCTGCTCATGTAACAAAATACTTCAATTATTTCAGTTTTTTTTTTCATGTTTGTTTTGCAAATTTTAGACCCAAATTGATGATGATGAATGCTAGCAACTCATTATTATCATCCACACCAATCGTAAATTTGATTGTAACACAAGCAGCAAGTGTTGTGCTGTGTTGTCCAGATTTTAGTTTTAGTTTTTTGCATTAAAAAAATGAACGCTTGGCGAGAAGCAACTTTTTCAGACGTTCATGTTTTCAAAGCAAAGGCAGCGAGGACTCATTGACTTTTTCAGTTTTAAATTTTTTTTTTTTTTTTGGTCCGTTTAACTTTTTGAGCTGGAATATTTTTTCGTTGTTTGCTTTTCTCACAGTGTTTTATCTTTGGTCAGATTAATTTATAGTTTGAAAAGTGCTTGCTGTTGTACATAAGAGACATTAGCCTTTTTGTTTTTTTGTTTTTTTTTTTAAGAGTTTTATTTAGCCGGGTGAGCTACTTTTGTTTGTTTTGCATTCCACTTTAGAGCGATTAGCAGCGGGCTTGTACCACATAATTTATTTGCAATAACATAGAAAAGTGGAACTAACCATTTTGCTTTTTTTTTTTTTCATTTGTGGCTTCTGATGATGATGATGATGATGATGATGATGACGGATGCTGTGGAACATTCCGGCACGAGACGGTGAAATGTTGCGTGGCCGTGCCTGACGAAACAATGTAGCTGTCTGTCAACAAACAGCCTTTCAATAAACAGCTTATATGTTGTCATATGAATGGAGTCGTTGGATTCCTACGAGTTGAAAACAAAACTTTTTCAAACATTAGAAAAAGAAAAAAAACATGAGACCCAAGCAAAATAATTTTTTATTTTTTTCTCCTGTCACAATTTGTATTTATTTTTGGTGGGAAGGTAAAGTACAGATAAGACCAATTGCAAGTTTTGGATATATTGATTTGTTGTTATTATTATTAATTAATTTATGTTGTCGTCCTCTGTAGAACGGGGCATAAACATCTTAGATTCCCCCCATGATTGTTTCAAAAATTTAAATTAAAAGAATATCAACAAAAATGCAAAACTGACCACAAAATTCTTTAAAAAAAAAAATTACTAAACTTGACACTTAAAAATTCTCCCAAATCAGGTCAATGAACAGTGGAAGAGAATAAATAAAAAAAATATACAAAACAAAAAGTGAAACGATGTTCCTCAAATTCTATATACAAGAACAAAAGATGGCACGCAAAAAAAAAAATGATGTAAAAGCTTCAATAGAAAACAAAGCTGTGAGAAAAAGAACTCAAGACGAATGCACCAAAAAAAAAGTGGCCCAAAAAGGCCTACTCAAGAAAACAAAGCAAAAAAAAAAAAAAAAAAACAACAACAAAACTTCCTCCCTACCACTCTCCCCCAAAAACTTGGCCGAGAAAGTTTGGCCAATCAAAAGCCGCATGTTGCTTGTTTGAAGATGGAGCATCTTGGCGCTCATCAGGCGAGATCGGCCAAGTAGGAGAAGCTCGTTGCATCCGGACACGCACGAGGGAGGAGAAAACGCAGACGGAGTGGACGGGAGGTCGGCTGCGGGGCGGGGGGGGGCGCGGTCCTTTGGCAGTGGTCCCACACCAAATGGCCGCCGGCCCGCCGGCAGAGGAGCGTCCCGGTCCGCCTCAAGTGCTCCATTCAGGCGCTCCTGTGAGGGCCGCTTGTTTTCGCCGCTAAATGCCTCTTTCTCTTTTGGGGGAGGCGGCTGCTGGAGCTTTTCATGACCGGCCGAACCCCCAACCCTTCCCCAGCCCCCCCGCAACACTACCTGCACCACGTTAACCGGGAGCAAACGTCTTCATCGGCCCCCGCGCATCAAAGCCGCGCGCGGGGAGGGACTTCAAATGTCCGACGCGAGGGACGTCCCGTTTGCTTCCAAGATCAAAAATGAAAAGCCATCTGGAGAGGAAAATGGCTTTGGCTTTCCAAGCCGTGACCGCATCCAGTCCAACCCAATCGAACTTTCGAAAGAATCGGCGTTGAATTGGATTGGAATTCAGGCTCAGCGAGGCAGCGACTCCTCTTTTATTGGAAAGCTGCACAAACCTATTCAGTCGAACCCTGACCCGAACCTCTAAACCGACCTCAAACCCTATAGCCTCAAAACCTAACCCTAACCCCTAACTCGAAACATTAACCTTAAACCCTAACCCCTAACCCTAACCATACCCTAAGCCTAACCTCTATTCCTAACCTAACCCTGAACCCTAACCTGAACCCATAACTCTTAATGTTAACCCTAAACCCTAAGCCTTACCCCTAACCCTAACTCAAACCCTATAACCTCTAAACCTAACCCTGAATTCTAACCCTAAAACCTTCATTTATTTGTCATCGGCCAGTGTCCAGCTCAACATCACGTTGTGGGAAAACTTGTGAGTAGTGGAGTCAGAGATCCGTTTGCAGATAACACAAGAACATTGAGTGAAGAAAAAAAAAAAAAAAAAACAGCCGCATGCGTCATTCATCGACTTGATTGCAGTGTTGTGATTCAGGCGGGAAAACGCTGCCACATGTGAACGCCGTCACCTCTCGTTCACCTTCGGCGTAAAAACGCAGCCACCGTGACGACCGGGCGGAGGTCCCGCGCGCCCGTGCGAAATTTCAAGTCTTGCTGTGAAAGCGCCCAAGACGAGCTGCTTGTTCGGACGCGAGTGAGTGGGAAGTTTCCAGCCGCTGCTTGATGATGTAATCGGTTAAATGGCGGCTGAGTGTCATGTGGGCACCGTTTTTTTTTTTTTTTTTTTTTTTGGACGGGGTGGCAAAAGAAAGAAAGTGGTGGAAATGTTCCACCTTGGACACTTGATGGGATGGACTTGCGCATGTGCGGGCATGACACGGGTCGCGATGCATTTTGCTTCTCTTTTGGATGTTTGAACTAACCTGGATCTTAAAATCTGGGCTTTAGGCTCGCATACAAACAGTGTACTTCCTCCTCTGTCGTTATAGTCAACAAATCTTGACTTGTCATCTTATATGATACATACATCAACATGACTGAAGATGTACATTCAAAAAAAACACTTCACACTCCATAAATCTTCAGTCAAAACTAGGCTCGGCGTAAATATGCCTGCCTGTTTTCAGTCATCTTCTTTCAAATGTAATATCCAACAAATTAGTGTGACCCCCATCTAGTGGTCTGGAGTCAAATTACACCCCAAATAAACAGCAGGCAGACCAATATATCAGTGCTGCAAACCTGTGGTGGAGGGGGGGGTTGCTGCATTTTTATTACTGTTACGCTGCAGATGTGAAGAATGTCATTTTTGCGTCGATGCTTTCAACATTTATTTCTTTTCTTAGTTCGTAGCATCGGTAGATTATGGAAGCATATTGTTGCCGCACCAGAAAAAAAAAAAGTTCAATTCCACATA